GACCGCAGAGTGAAGGCAAAGGGGCCAACAAGTGCTAAACACCTCTGGGAACTCCTTCAAGACTGTTGGAAAACCATTTCAGGTGACTACCTCTTGAAGCTCATGGAGAGAATGCCAAGAGTGTGCAAAGCAGTAATCAGAGCAAAGGGTGGCTATTTTGAAGAAACTAGAATATAAAACATGTTTTCAGTTATTTCACCTTTTTTTGTTAAGTACATAACTCCACATGTGTTCATTCATAGTTTTGATGCCTTCAGTGAGAATCTACAATGTAAATAGTCATGAGAATAAAGAAAACGCATTGAATGAGAATGTGTGTCCAAACTTTTGGCCTGTACTGTATATGTAATATTAATATTTATTTTTTGAAAGGCAAGATAATTGGTAATATATATATCATACATTTAGACTGAATTTATACTTGAAAGTTACAGATAATTGGTAATTTATATTTTATAGTACTAATATACTACTAGATTTTTGTTAGATAGATATTTGGTAATTAATACAATAGATATATACATGGGTTATTTTGTGTACAATTGTATATTCAGTAGTTTAAGGTATAGGTTTATGTATATGAGGATGACTCATGGAGAAGGGATGGGATTTCATGAGTTCATACTTCCTCCCACTCCTTTTTGAATGTGTAAATCAAAGTAACTATACACTGACAACCGCTTTTCATTATGCTTTTCATTATCTGTGAATATTACTCTCTCTCTCTCTGTCTGTCTGCTTGTTTGTATGTTGAAGTCATTTTTTTTTACATGTTTGAGATGAATATCAAATATCACTAGACTGAAAAAGGACATGTTCTGAAACCAAAATAGCCCTAACTCTTTAAATGGACGGATCAACAACTTGTCAACTCCAGGTATTAGTTATGAAATGAGTGGAAACAATGGCAACAATAAGCCATGGAGTCTGCAGGTATAAATGTTAGTAAGTCACTCCTGAAGGGGAATTGCTCTTATTTCTTATCAACCATCAACTGCTGCATTTACAAATGTTAATGAAGTAATAAATAAAGGCTCACGGCTGTGTCACTGTCAGTTAACTTAAAACATAAATATAAGTTATTTGGGTATTACAGGTTTGTTAGACAGTAATCCATCAAGTCTAATGCTGTTAATAAATATATTTGGTCCAGACATCTTGCAACAGTCCACTGGAGTTGTCTTCCTGATGAATTAAAGTGTCGCACTGGAGAGAAATTTTCAACAACCTGGCAACCTGATTTAAGTGTTACTCTAAATTAGCATTAATTGATCTATAAAGCAGTAATAAATTGTGTATTAACATTAAACCTTTGAAACCTGGTGTGACATCACTTTTCTTGTGCTGCTTTCAGATGCCTTTTGCAAGTATTCAAACATTTGAGCCCTGAGGGACATGGGGAAATAGGCAATTAGCCTAGCAACTTGGTAAGAAATTGAAAAATAAAAAATAAAAAAATAAATAGCTTTAGAAAATTGTCTTTAAAAAAAAAAAAAAAGGGAAAAAAAGAAAAAAGCAGTGGAAAAACCATTTTCACAATTATTATTATTATATTTAAAAAATTATGGCACAGAATTCTTAATTCTCATCTCTTTCCAGGTCAAAGTCCTTTTTTAAAAGATCTAATTTTCTTGATTTTAATATTCAGATTAATTTTATTTTATTTATTTTATTATTTTTTTAATTGTTTCAGTTGCAGACAGTGTGTGGGATACTTTTTTAAAACTTTTTTTTTAACTTTACTTTTGAAAATGACACAGGTTAAAGATTACTACTTATTACCCTATTAAAATGTAATCAGTAATGTAACTAATTTAATTACTTCATCAGTAATGTAGCTCATTATGTTTAATTACTTTTTGATTAATTTTCTAATATATGTTTAAAACTGTGCAATAAAGCTGAAAAATGGGCAAAAAGATGCAACCCAGCTGGCAATGAACCTTTAATCATAAATCTACACTGAAATTTTGGAAAAAATCTTTTTTAACATTGAAACAATTTTGAAACAAAGTTTAAACTTAATGAAACAACATTTGGAAATCAACATTGATTCATCTTCCAAAATCAAATAATAATTCAACAGTGATTCAGCCATGGTGTATGACACTGATTCAACAGTGATAAACATTAGAATGCCAGCTAGGAAAGCAACAGAGTGAAGGTTATAGTTTCAGCCACCTCTCACTACCAACTCGTCAAAAACCGCTGCTTTGTCAGTGATTTTGGCGTCAGACACCGACGCAAGGAGGCACCTTTTAAAACGGTATGATGCGCATCGGGAACAGTCAGATTTAGAGGCAAGTGGGTGACAACCCCAGTTGTCAAACACAGCTGTTTTGTCATGGACTTGGCGTCAGACACGGATGCAGAGAGACACCTTGGCTTGGCTTGGTTTAGTTTGGGCTATCAGCCCAACACAGCAGGGATTTGTATTTCCATTACAGCAGGGCTAGTCTTTAACAGGAGTGTCTTTAACTGATGATGATGTGTCTCGACTGATGACATTTAAAAGCAGCAGGCTGATCCACAGCTAAAGCCCCCTGTTATTTTTGCTGCATGTGTTTCTCCACAGCAGAGCAGGTAAAATAAGTTTATAGAGGTAACAGCACATTCTGATGGATATTTCCTACCTGACAGGAAGAGTTGCTCTACTTTTACCTGCATCTATAGAACTAGTCCATTCTGATAGATTTATCACCACTGGTAGGTCATTCTGAGCGGGCAGCTCTATGTGTCACAACACTGGTTGGCGGCGATTTCCATAAATTAAAGAGTAGCAAAGTCCATTTAGGGCTGGTGTGAGGAGAGGTGATGGGTCAAACAAAGTCCAGGCTGTCACCTGGGAACCTGCTGTTCAGTTCACTGTGAATTTTATGACAAACTATGTTTTTTCTAAAGCTAGCCATGAGCTTTTGTTGTCTGAACCTCAGAAGATCAACCTTGAACAGTGTTTGACCTACTTCATTGTTTAATTTCAAAGAGACTGTCTGCATGTAAGAAGCAAAAACTGTAGGGGAGACTGGGGCTGGTTGTCACAGTGCTTATTACAGCTGCACCAGAGGGCGCTGTTACATTATGTTGATATCAAACAGTTGGCCTGACATCCTGCTCATTGTGCACTGCTCATTTTGTGGATCACACACAAAATATTGAGGTGAGGAGATATTGTGTAATTTCTGTGGGTCAGAGTAATTTCTCATGTTGGTGTTTTTGTACTAAAAACTTGTAGGTTATTAATCATTTAAAAATCAAACTTTTATTAAATAGTCAAAGATATCAGCTAGTGTCTTTGATGGTCAATTACTTCTTGTTACAGTGAGTTGTGAAAATGAAAAGGGATATCCATTGCAAGCCAAGACCTTAAGCTTTAATGTAGGAATGACTATTGAAAAATATTTTGATGATGAGCATCTCCAAAAAGAGTAAAAAGTGTGACAATCAACCCCGGTCTCCCCTACAGTTCCTGTGAAAAGGAAAGTGTGTTTTGAAAAGAGGCAATGCATGTAACAAGCCTCAGCTGAAATGCAGTGTGAGAACGTCCAATAAAGATGGAGGAGGGTACCTGGAGCTCATATTTTGACATGTATGTCCACTGACAAAGTGGTGATGAGTTGGGATGATAATTTTGTGTATAAATTTTTTACTGAAAAAGAACAGATTCAGATGTAACCCCTTTGTGATTGGTAACATTTTGATTAGTAACTGTAATTTAATTGCATATTTTTTATCAGTAACTGTAACTTATTACAATTGCATGTATTTTGTGACTTAATTACATGTAACTAGTTACTCTCCATCACCGGTTACAGCTAATCAACTCTTTATAAAGTGTGTCTTATCAGGAATCTTTTGAAAAAGTAAAAATGAATGTAAAAATCCGCATAAATCTCCTGTAACATTGTTCCAGTTTGAGAGGCATCAGGCCCAGATTAAAGTGCACTTTGAGGCAGCTGGGTCTGCTCTGTTCATTCATTACTGCAGGAACGCTGCACCTGATTAAACTGATGAATCAATACCTGCAATCAGCGCGGTAATGATCAACATATCAAGAAAAGCGATTCCGATAAACAAGTCGAAATTACCCGAGGGATGATCCGAGGTAATAACTGGACAGTGAGCAGTTTATAAACGTCCAGAATGAGACGTGTGCGCGCGTGTGTGATTAAACCGTGTGTGTGCGACGTGCAATTTCTGCAGCAGAACTTTCAAAGACTCTTCAAACACATGCAGATGGACAGCAGAGAGGAGCGGCCGCAGTGCGCCTCAAGATGCGCTAGTCGGCGCCTTAAGAATGAAATTCAACACTTGTGTGTTGTGAGTGTGGACCACAGTGAACCTGGAGAGGAGCCCTGCCTGCTGCACGGTTTGTTTAACTTCCTCAATCCTCCACAAACAGCATCCATGTCCATACAGGATCACACACACACAACAGCCTCACACTGACACACAACTCATGTTAAAAGCGCATATCAGGGAGGCGCACACACCTAAACCTGAACACCTGCGGGCTGTGATCTCTGCAACACCCCTGACAAACATCTTTGAGCTTTTTCATCCTCTTCCTGCATCTTACAAATGACAAAACTCTTAAAATGACTTGTGACACCAATACACATTTTACAGCCACATCTTTAAAATTGGAAACCTCCTTTTTGTGCGTCTTTTTACAATTAAACACTCATTATCCTGGACCTCTGGGCTGATTTATTGATGTGTTTAACTGCTGCTGATTTGGATGTAAATTTTCCCAAGCATTACGCAGTCCTGTCCCCCCATTTTTGGTGTTGATGTTGTTGTTGTGGAATGCGTGAGCAGCAGTGTCAGTGCGTAACAAAGCTCGCCTTTGGTGAGGAGCTCATTTGTAGCGCTTATACCAAGAAAAAAAAGAGATAGTTTCCAATCTTGCGCGGTGGGAGGGAAGATTTGTGCGGTGAAACACAAGAAGCAGGAGAAGAAGAGGAAGAGGAGGGTGAGGAGGAGGAGGAGGGGGGAAAAAAAGTAGAAAATCTCTGCAACCCCTGGAGTCTCATTCAGCACCACTCGCTACTGGACAGCGTCTGAGCAGCAGGAGCAGGAGTTGATCGAGAAACAGGAGATTTGTTCCAACCTCGGCTCTGGGAGTAACACCGCATCTGCACAGGGCGCTTTATTCCCAACACAACTAGCGACACTTGTATCTCCAACCCGGCGTTTCCACTTCTCACACCAGTCTTCTACATTTTTCTTTCAATATTTTTAAACTGCATCCGTGCGGCGCGTTTTGGCAAGCAGCGTTCAAACAGGAGGCGACTGGAGCTGACGCTGCCAGACAAAGACGCAGGAAGAAAAAAAAAAAAGAAGAATAAAAAACGACAATCAGAGATCGCAGAAGTTCATTTCCTCCACTTTACTCACTTCTATCAGGAGGATTTAAAGGTAAGAGTGTCTCCTTTCTGTTAGGATGAGGTTTAGGAGTGGTGCTGGATAAGAGTTACGCAGCTGTGAGAGTATGCTGCACAAATCTGATTATCTAATAACACTTGGAGGCATGCTGGTGTGCTTTTAAAGCTCAACATCACATGAGGGGAGAAAAGTAAAATCAGTTAGGGTTATTTTTGTCTTCTGGTGGCATTGCTGTCACGCGTAATGACTTTACAACCCCTCTCTGTGTGGATATCATCGCTGTGTATGCGTCTGTTTGGGGAGGATTAGCCCTGCTTTTGGAGGGCTGTGGTCCCTCTCACACTCAACAGATGAATCACCTTTACTGAAAGGCTTTAGGGAGCAGGAGGGTGACGTTTCTTGTGGAGCTGATGATGGAGGGAGGGGGGGGGGGGACCTGACAATACAATGAGCCCCTTCATCAGCTGTGTCTATGGGAGCCCCCTCTGCAAGCCCCCTCGCTGCTTTCCGCTCCACTTGGCTTGCTGTTGTTTCCTCACACACACACACACACACACACACACACACACACACACACACATATACATAAGCAAATCCGAGGAGTCTGTAGGTCTGGTCAATGCATAGATGAAGACAGACGGTCATTTTAAACTAATGTGATGTAATGGAGGCAGTGGGAAACACACTGGAATCTGTGCGCTTTTTGCAGGGTGGTGTGTAGGAATCGGTGGCAAACCATCTTTGCATTTAATCATCCTCAAGTGAGACATGACGCCCTGGCGGGTCATATGGTTTGGTGACGCCTCACTTGATTATGCATCACTGTCAGAGAGTAATTGCTGCTCATATTTCCGGTGCTTGTAGACTGTTGAATGCATGGAGCTTGTTTTATTATGTTAAAAAGCATCCAAATAATATTTCTTGAGGAATGTTTGGAGTGATGTGATGGGAGCAGGAGTGGTCATATTTTAAGGTTTGTGTGCCTACACAAAGCCTCTCTTTCCTTTTTAATAGCAATCTGTGTGTTGCTGAAGGTCTGTTAAGCTCCACTCTATAACCCTCTGGATCTCCTCCCAGTCTGACATGCACATATTTTAAATGCCTCACTGGATTTCAATTAGTGACTATGCATCAGTTGAGTTGATAGTATTCAAATTCAAAACTTCATTTGATGCCAAACGACAAAACAAAAAAGTGAAAGCAGGTTTGTAGCAGTGACAACAACCCACAACGGAAACACTTTAAACAATGTCGGTCTTTAAAGACCAATCAGATTCTCCCTAAACACTTCTTGAAAACAGCTGCACTCACAGAAATGTTTCACTGAGCCACTAAAAATTTAATTTGAACTAGGGGAGAAAAAATCCCCGAAACAGACAAGACCTAAAACAAGTGCTTTGAAATACCCATCAGAAGCCTTGTTTCTCTTTTTGCTCGGTCATTCCTATATTAATTCTCACAGTAAGAGAACAGATTCAACAAATCTTCACAGCACCAATTCTCCACCCAGTCTGAGCAATATCACACTGTCTGCAGTGTAAATCTCCACCGGCAGTCACAGTACGTGTGCGGTGCCTTGGTGATTATTCAGGAGAGGAAAAAATAGTTCCTCAGCCTTCACAGGAGCTTATTACATGCCACTGTAGGCAAGTGAACTGTAGATGTCTGATACTGGAAACACTGAGAATAATCAGTTTATTGGTACAAATGTACAGGTTTGCAAGTGTGTCAGAGAAGCTGAATGGTGTTGATAGGAGCAGTGAGGAGGATTAAGCGGCATCTTGCAGTCAGGACTGAAGATTGCAGCCAGCTGAAACTTCTTCCATGTGTCAAGCATGAACTCCTGGTTAGGATTCCTGAAGTATTTATTGTTCAGGAGGTTTTTACCAGGAGGTCTCATCCTCTCCAAAACAAACAGACCAGCTGATTAAACACCTGCTAATATGTGCTAACCTGTTTCTCTGCAAGACCCAGACGCTCAGGAGGTTTTTAGCGGGAGCCAAATTATCCGCAGAGATCTCTACTCCCCCGAAAACAAACAGAAGCAGTGATTTAAACTGTGATTTAAAACACTAAGTAAAACCATTTCACGAAAAAAATCAGTGTGTTTCTGATGGGGCTCATTGCAGAGAGGCTGCTAACTATGGTTACCAATGTGAAAACATGAATCTTGAGCCAGTGTCTGGTTTGTCCATTCTGGGCTACTGTAGAAACATGGCGATTCAACATGGCAATCTACATGGACAAGGACCCGCCCCCTATGTACATATAAGTGGCTCATTTTAAGGCAGTGTCATGTTACAAATCAGTATTCCTCCAAAGCAGTCTGGCTCGTCGCAGACAGGCCGCTATCCCAGCACCTGCTAATGTGCGCTCATCTTTTTCTCTGCAAGATCAAGATGCTCAGGAAGTTTTTAGCTGGAGCCAAATTACCTGCAGAGATCTCTTCTCCAGTCAAAATAAAGAGAACCAGTGATTTAAACTGTGATACAACACTAAGTAAAATAATTTCACGATAAAAATCGGTGTTTTTCTGATGGTGCTCAATGCGGATAGGCCGCTAACTACAACCTGAACTTGTATAGCACCTCCCTAGTCATCCAACCCTCAAAGCACTTTTTATACTACGAGTCACATTCACCCACATTCACACACATTCACACCAAGACTACCATACAAGGTGCCACCTGCTACTCAGGTTTTAACACACTCACACACCAATGGAACAGCCATCGGGAGCAATCTGGGGTTCAGTGGATGTTTCTCAAAGTCAAGGACAGATCCTTAAGTGGCTGAACTTCAAGGATGCTACGTCATCAAATCCCGCCTAAAGACTGCTCCAGTGGTCAGAGTCCTTCATTCAGAGAATTTTCAAGGATACATGTGCAGGTAAAAAGTACCCGCAATTCTTTGTGCACAATTTGCTGGAAATAAAGGCGGCACCAACAGAGCTCGGCAGGATTTAGATAAATATGTCACTTATTTGGATTAATATCTCCAGTTGTTTTTATTATACAAGCATAAAAAAATACTGAGAGAAACCTCATCATTTACACTTTCCAATGTGTCCTCTGCTGAATAATGAGCTTGTTGAAATACTGTGATGGAAATACAGTGATGGAGCGCTAAATGCCACAAGAGTTTCATTTAGCCTACCTGTTTGTACCTTTTTTAATTATAATTCAGAGATATATTCTCCTTAAACTGACTTATATTTGTTCAAATTGTACGACATAAGGGAATGCCAAAATTATCACAGTACCCTGATACCCCCTCAGTCTGCTGAGGGTTAATGATGAACACCTGGGGACACTCGTTAGCTTGTTCCAATGTGTGTTCACTGAATGCAAGGGAGGACTCTTGCCTTGCCTTTGTAGGATCCTTCCTTGAAAGAACTCATCCTACCAAGGAAGGATCCTTGACTTTGAGAGTCACCAAGTGTCTTGCTCAAAGATACTTCGACATCTAGACTAGAGGAGCCTTGGATCGAACCACTGATGTTCTGATTAGTGGACGACCCACTCTAACCCTGAGCCACAGCCGCCCACAATCCAAACACATGAATGGCCCTATCTAGAGCCAGTGTTTCAGTGTATGGTTTGTCCGTTCTGGGCTACTGTAGAAACATGGCAGTGCAACATAGCAATCTACGTGGACAAGGACCCACCCCACGCCTATGTAGATATAAATGGGTCATTTTAAGGCAACAAAAACTCAACGATTCATATTCTTAGGTGATTATACACTGAAGAGAACATACTTGTCATATACCATTTCTGCCGATATAAATCCTACACACTGGACCTTTAAATCATATTTCTACATCTTTTAAACCTGCTAATTCAAAGTCATGATGAGTTACAGTCCACTCACTCTGATCTCAAACTCCTTTGGCTTCTCATATTTGAACGTTTTGGCTTGGTGGCCTTCATCAGAGCATATTTGTACTTCATTATCCTCCTCCTAATGTGTTCCCCCCCCCTCGATTTATGCTAAGCTTCATCTGCCCTGCAGTACCACTTGACTGTGCTGATTTTTTAGCAGTTTATCAAGGTGTTTGGAGGAGATTCTGTTGAAGGAGAGACAAAAGCCTCTCGAAATTTCCTGAAAGATACAAACTGCACTAGACTGAGCCCTCCGTCTGATGCTGTGTGTGTGCACCCCCCGACAAGATCCACCAATTAAAAAGCAGTGTTTGGTTTCAGATATTGAGGTTAGGGATCGGGACATAGTTCAGCTTAGGGTCTGAAAATCGGAGCTGGGATGCGTATGTAGCCTGGGAGGAAGTGCTGCCCCAGAGGCCCAGTCTGGGGAAGAAACAATTACCGCAGAATTGACTGTTGACAGCTCCTCAAAAATGCTTGCAGTATAAAAACACCCTGAAGATGTCTGCTGTTTGAAGGGGATACCCGCACATTTAAGAGCGTACCTACAGCGTTATGTAAGTTTCTAATGGCACAAGACATTATTCAGTATTTTTCCCTCGTTAATGACTTTCTCCCAGAAACAAACAACAAAAAAAACATCTCATTAAGATGCAAAGCTTGGAGAATCTCCAATAAACAGAGTAAGAGACTGACTGTCAGCACAAAGCCTGTTACTTTTAACCTTTACATCCAAATGAGTTTCCTTGTACTATAATCTGTTCCAGACCTGATAATGTTCCCCTTATAGCCAGAAAATCATCCAGGATATGTTTACTGTCATTTCCTCCATCTTTGGTGATTCATTTTCCATGCTGCTGCGAGTTAGTGTGACATTATAGGAACAGTGCGGGATAAATCATTCTCCTCCGTCGGCTTCTCTTCCTCTTTCCTTTCAGACCGAGCTGAAAGCACGAGCATACGTCAGCGCTGAAATTCACAGGCATCCAGCAGACAGGAGACAGACAGGCAGACAGACAGGCGGAGAGCCTTTTCTCTGTGTGTTGGAGGAGTTTTAGACATCCATCCCTCTGCTGTTCCTTATCACTGCTTCTTGATCATCGTGGAGCGTCCACAGCCTGGATCACCTCCTCTGCTTTCTCCTCCTGG